CCGCTTACACCCGCCTCCTCGCCTCGTGGCCCTCCTTTGGGGATCGACTGTTTGAGCCGCCACTTGACAAGGTCGAACATGCTTTGAGCTGTCGTCCCTCCTCCGTAATTTGCACGCCAATTAGTCATCTCATAACTTGCAATCGAGCCAATTTGATGATAGTCCTTTCTCCGATTGCATAGTTACACCTAGAGGATGCACTTCTAAAATTTAGTGCTTATGATTTATACTCATATGCATCAGTTATTGTTTACTGCTTCTGGGAAATCTTATAATCTAATTACGAAAATCCTAAATTTTTTAAGGCATTAAGGGCATATATAAGCAAACATTGATTGTTTTGTTGTGTGTTAAAAAAATGTTAAAGATATTGGCGACCCAAACCTGGCTTGGACACTTGTTGCAACAATCTGATGGATTCTCAGATATTTGGAACATTCCTTTTCAAAAAGGTCAGTGTGAATGTGGTCGAGCCGGCGGGTGTCGGCAAGGCGCGAGGCGTCTCAAGGAGAGCCGAGTGGAAGCGTGGTCGTGGCGTCCTCACGCTGCGGATGCGCATGGCCTGCTTGCGCCGACGGCCATTTCTTGGCTCATCATCCTCAGAGGGCACGCGCCATCCCTATCCCCGACAGTGTGGGAAATTCCTTTTCTAAAATTTCCATCGTAATTATTGCACTCTAGAAATTTTTTATCGATATCTGCTTTTGGGGATAACTTGTTAGCTAAACATATAGAGTATTCATGTCGTATGATAGATTAAATACATTCACATCATGTACATCTTATAAATCATAGAGATGGATTTTATTGTTGTCATCGCTCGGGTATATATATCTCATCATAACTCCGAATATCTCTATATACAATATTTTTTGTCCTCTTTCTGTTGGATCAATAGCTTTGTTTGTTTTTGTCAACACCCATGTACTTTTTCGTGAAACACCCCTTGATAATGCTACATAGAGTTGTCCATGAGAGAATCTTGGCTCGGTAGGTAAATACCTACATTAGGTATGGTTTGACCTTGGGCTTTATTTATTGTCATCATGAAACTCAATCTGATTGGAAATTGCTTCCTCTTAAATTTGAATGGCAATGAAAGGTCCTCGAAAGGTGACATAGGAATCCTTGGTATGAACACTCTAGTTCCTTCAAACCGCCCATTAACAATTTCAAATCGATTGAGTTGTTTTGAAATCCTCGATTATCAGCCGTGTCCCATTGCAAAGCCCATTGTGAGGATCTAGGTTATGCAACAAGATAACAGGCAATTCTTTTTAACCTTGAGCTCATGTGGAGGCAACCCATTTGGAGTAATGGTGTTAAGGAAATCAATAGGATAATTATTTCTTGAATCATCATCGATCGAGTCAAAACAGAGTACACCTTTTCTTCTCCGAAATCATCAATCATTAATGCATTTCTTCGCATCGACGCATCTCATTCCTCGTGAAAAAGAATCGCACGCCACAAGCGCATATATTCAGTAGATTTGCAATTAAACATAGATTTGGAAACACTCGATCGATAAGAATGTTAATGGAAGCATCTTCTAAACTTATCTTTTTATTTTTACGAATTCTCTGTGAAATCTTCATCGTTGCATCCAATCGTAATGTCATCAGCAAATGAAACATATCCATCATCATATGTTTCTTCCGTGCCATTTCCAATTCTTAATAGGTATTCGAGAACCATTTGTCATTTCGAGCTCGCATATTTTGAGTGTTTCAATCCTTGAACATTTTCCCATAAATATGATTTGAGCAAAGTAGCATCTGTGATTTGGGCTCGTGTACCTCGTGGCACAACAGAAGAACCTACCTAAAGTCACCTCCAAACAACATGACCTTACCCCCAAAAGGTTGATCGCAACCCATTATATCCTGAAATGTTCTATCAAGTGTTTCTATTGCTTGCCTCTTTGTCATAGCAACTTCATCCCATATTATCAAAGATGCCTCTCTGAGCAACATAGCAGTCCCCACTTTGTTTTGTAAAGTTACACATGGAATTAGCATCTAGCTTGATAGGAACCTTGAATCATGAGTGAGCAAAGTCGGCCATCGGGCATAATAGACGCCGCTATACCAGACGTCAGCAGAGAGCAATGGCAATAAGATTCAATGATCGAACCTTAGCCAACAAAGCCTTATAAAGATATGTCTTTCCGGTGCCTCCAGGACCATCAACAAAGAATACACAACTTCGTTTGTTGAGCACATGATCTAGTATCTCATCGAAAGCGACCCGTTCTTTGTACATTTAGTGTATCAATAAGTTTTAAATGATCTTTGTCAAAACCAACCTTCATCTCCTCAAGAAACTCTCTATAATAGTCTCTTGATAAATCATCTATCAAATTTAAAGAAAAAAAAAAAGAGTAAGTAATATGAGCATGAAGGAGCCACATAATAAAGTATATATAAATAATACCATTAATCAAAGTCAAATACTTCACCTAATTCCTCCAGATTCTGAAGGCCATAGTTTCTAATATCTCTGCCCATTGAAGCAAGATGATTCGATATGTCTCTAAGAACCTTTTGCTCAACCAAGCTAGACTTCCCATGGGATCGACGGTAGTCCTCACCATTGATTCAAAATGCTTGTCCCGTAGACTACTTAACATTGGCGCACTCACAAAAAAACCATAATAGTTGCAAATAACCTCCTAAGAGCACAAGGCATTTGGAATCTGCAGATTCAGATAAGCATGCATCTAGTGTTTCATCGGTTTCCACAAAGCCCATGACCTCACAAGCTGTCTAAACGTAGGATATGTAGCACCATGCCAAGTTCTAAGATCCTCAAATGAGGTTGCACCCCTCACATGGTTTAAGAGCACCCGTAGGTAGTATCTTTCACCTTCAAGAGGGTGCGCATACACAAGTCTCGCCAATCAGATCGTTTTTTCTAGGCTCCCAGCGTTTTATGAGACTTGTTCCAAATGAAGTATTCTGGGAACTCCTGTATAAATATTTTCGAGCTCTAGGATTGTCCATGTTTGTTACTGAAATACTCTATAAGCATTGACCTCTTTGACCTTTCTCTCTTGACAACATCATTTAGATCATCTCTAGATTTGAATGACACCATATGCATACCGGTAGGTGCACTTGCATCTGTAGTACAGGTGGTGACATAGAATACAAAGGAAATCCATACACCATGTACATATCGCTCTATAGCGCTTATGCATCTTGCATTTCATATTGCTTAATCTCATCAATTTTTTGTGCATGAGTATCTCAAGGATCAACACTAACAGATACACAATCATGACCTTTATATATGTACTTATACAAGTACTTAATAGATTGAATACTGCAGAAAACTTCAACATTAATATGGCGCTTATACTTCATCAAGAGCATTGGGTTATATGGAACAACCCATCTGTTATCTAAAATTTTTCACCCTTACTTTTACACTTTGACCATTATCCCTTCTCCTATAAATCGGATATGAGTCTTTTCCTTGTTGGGTGGTATCACAAAACCGACGAGGATACCGAAAGCGACATTCTCCATCTACCATGCACCAGACGCTTTCGGTTCAACGTACCACAAGGACCATGCATCATATGCTTGCAAACCAACTTATGTAACACGGATATTTAATCGGGTCGTAGTCTCGTTGATATAAACTTATCATAGTCATCTCGACTCCTCAACTTAGTATTTGGTTCCATAATCAAAAGGAAGTGTTCATGTGGTAGGCCTCTCTTCAAAACTCCGTCCACATGAGCATATCTTTTGCAACCTTTCCAAGGACTCCTTTTTAATCAAATCGTCATGCAAGTTTAGTAATCTGGCTCAGAAACTCTTGTCACCACATCGGGGCGATCTTGAGTGGTCTGTCCAAAGCAATAACTCTTCCATTATTTCATTCCAATAAGGGTTGCATGTCATTGTTATAAAAAGATCGAGCTTTCCAAATCTGGTAACTAAAGTCATTGCATCCATAAATCTCGCATGAACATCTCTATCACTTCCATGGAAATCTTTGGATAAGACAATTCTTTTCACCTTCAAGCACGGGCCTCTCCAAAGCAGCAAGTGTGTCGATTAGACCCTAGGGTTAAAGAAATGTCAATAGATCACAATTTGATAAGAATGTGAAATGTAACTTTTAATTGACCTCACCGGTAAAGATCAAAGACGGATTAGATCTTGATGCTCCGGTTTGAGTACCAGTCTAAACGCATTGACTCAACTTTCACGTACATGTCCATGGCCCATTGTTGGAAAAGACGGCCACCCCAAAAGAAGATGTTAAATTCCCCTTCACGAATTTGTAGCCTAAAACATAAGTATTCTCTGGCGCTCATGTAACGTCGAGATTCTTTATCTGCTGATGAAGCATGTTTACTTTTATTTAGTTTGGTAACCAAGAATTCCATTAAGGGACTTATTTGTTTATATAAAAAACTTTGTTTTTTTTAAAAAAAGTCAAACCTCGAATTTCAATATCCTCATTGTTTCCATCATCAGCATCGTTATCATCGTCCACTAAAAAATATTGTTGTATAAATAAAACATTTTGCATTTACATATAGAGGAATAAAAATATATATCACGCTATAAAAGACAAACCTTGTTTTTTTACGTTTTGTATATTTTCTCCTCGGCTTTGAAACAGTTGATCTTGGTACAAGATCATTTTATCCTCCCAACCAGTTTCACCGTTTGGATAAAATAAAGGATAGGCCAAAGGATCATAGCAGCCATGATAAGCCCCGATATAATGGGGATGGTTCTCGTGGCCATATATTATTATGCTCCTCTCAAATCAGGTTGGGGATCATTTCCATCCATCCATATCGCAGCCACTTGTCCCATTGTAGGCGCATTGAATCTCCTTTGATCAACAGATATCTTCGTATTGAGAGCAATTGTGTAGGCTTGCGAGTTAGGCGGGTGCCTAGACTCCTGACGCTTGCACATAAGGATTGTTCTCTAGGATGTTCATATTTTTATGATCAACTGAGCATCAAGATGTGGAGACCTCTTAATCCTATGAGATATAGAATTGTCTCATGTCATAAAAATATAGCTGCATATGTCGTGGACCTTGACCACCAGGTATGAGTGGATCTAGCTTGTGATATATTTGACCATGAGCTTTGAATGTATATATACCAGTTCCTCTAGCAAAGGCTACCGGCGATCAACCGAGACACCAAAAACTGGTGAATGAGAAGTGTGAATTGAAGTACCTTATGTGATTTCTAAAATACTTTGCATCAACATCCGTTTGATTGGTGAACAATTGTTGAAGTTCATCGTGCACTTCGGTATAAATATATTGACAAGTCCCTTTCGCAATGAGAATGCGGGGACCTTCACCAGGAACCTTTTAGCATGACAGAATGCACAATTGGGCACCTTTCTTAACACAAAATGATCTTTAGGAAGATTGTTATATACAAAGTCATAACGATCGGGTTTCTTTGCCATCGATTCAGATTCCATATAGCACTCATATTGAAAATGCGTATACGATCATGAAGGATGTATTAAATTCCACTCTTGTTAGGACACTTACTATTGTTAGCACACTAATAAAATTAACTGAATGTAAGCACTCACCTTTGTCATTGAAAACCCTTGCCTCATCGTCTCTCGTATATGTCATGATCACCTTCGGTTGGATCGAGACAATCTAAATCATTTTCTCGCGAAAAAAATTAGAGATAAAATTAGTAAATTTAAAATATGTAATTTTTCCATTTATCAAATTTAATTTGATAAAATTTTAAACTTACCCTCTATCCCATGTATTGGATTCTCAGGTTCAAAAATACCCGAGTTATATGGCTCTTTATCGCTTTTCTTGAATGGAACACAAGTATTTACACAATGCTCCACCGGGATAGAGTTTTGGCAAGATTGTTCCACACCCAACCCTACCAAGGTACGCCTTCTGATCCGCGACACTTGATTGTCGTGTTTTTTCTCTTTGGTATCTCGGATTGTTGCCAGGGCAAGATTTTGATCACCAATACATACTTTGTTTTTTCTTCTTTCTCGATATTGTCATTTGGTACTCACGATTTCTTGCGCGTAGTTCATCTTTCTTCTTGTCAATGGTCCCCAAAGTAGTAACGCTGTTCAATATCTGTCCGCACTCCTTTTGATTTGCATCTATGGACATGAGCTACATAATTAAGACAAATGTCAATTACAAAAGTGATTTTGTATTTAGTGATAGAAAGAGGGTCGGGGTCCCGACTAACCTTGTCATCTATGTTAAGGAAATTGTTCTCATCACGATTCATCCGGACGGAAGCTGCGTGTTCTGAAAAATTAGGAAATTTTTGCTCTCCAACTTGCATATCAAGTTTGCATTTTTTAGCCGGAATATTGCAATCTTGTTCTCTCGTATTTTCACTATATGCTTTGGCTCTTTTTCTCTCTCGATATCGTTGCTGGTACTCACGATTCCGTGCACGTTGTTCCTCTTTCTTGTGATCAATGGTTCCTAGATTTACATCCATAGAAGCTGATTGTTTCTGCACCACCAAAAATACTTGTGAAATCAGACTTTACATGTTTTGACGAAATTTTTGCTCTCCAACTTGCATATCAAGTTTGCATTTTTTAGCCGGAATATTGCAATCTTGTTCTCTCGTATTTTCGCTATATGCTTTGGCTCTTTTCTCTCTCGATATCGTCATTGGTACTCACGATTCCGTGCCGTTGTTCCTCTTTCTTGTGATCAATGGTTCCTAGATTTACATCCATAGAAGCTGATTGTTTCTGCACCACCAAAAATACTTGTGAAATCAGACTTTACATGTTTTGACTAACCTTTAACAAATCCATGGACCAGGTGGTGCTTTGCATAAATTTGGAGTGTGATTGCAAGAAGGGAAAGAGTTGATGCCTCTCATATGCGCAGCTGCTCCTCCAAATCTGTGATGCTCAGAGTCTGCGCCGCCCTTGGCCGTTCGACCACGGCAATGCCTCCAGGCAAGCACGGAATTGCCTTCAGGTGGTAGACAGGTTCGCGGCAATGCATCTAGGAAGTAAACGTGCACAAGATGTATTGTAAGAAGCCTAGCCAAATAGAAAAAATATAGTGTAACAGGGTCGTATTAGTCAGGATCGTATTATGAAGGTGCACAAGATAGGAAAAGGAAAGAGAAAAAACATAAGACATGTTGGAGACTTGACCACGGACGATGTTTAGAAAATGGGTTACGAAGGTGCACAAGATAGGAAAAGGAAAGAGAAAAAAACATAAACGTAGATAGGTTGGAGTCTCAACCACGGAAGATGACTCGGACACAACGGCTAGGACACGGACGGATCGTATTATGAAGGTGCACAAGATAGGAAAAGGAACGTAGACAGGTTGGAGACTCAACCACGGAAGATGATTCGGACACGGACACAACGGCTAGGACACGGACGGATCGTATTATGAAGGTGCACAAGATAGGAAAAGGAACGTAGACAGGTTGGAGACTCAACCACGGAAGATGATTCGGACACAATCTTACATCTTACCTGTTGGATGGAAGGCCCGGATGCGACGAAGGACGGATCCAACGGCTAATACTGAGAGATAACGAAAGATTCGCTCTTTTATAGTGTGATAATTCTTATTCAACTTGAACCGTGTTATTTTGTATGTATTTGATTGATGACATTGGATCTATGCGTAGAAGATCGAAGACCATTGAATTCTCGTATAGACTATAAATACATATCCCTACTGCTTCTCTCCCCCTTCTATCGCTGACACGTGGGCTCCATGAGTCAACTTCTTCTTCAATCTCTGGCCATCCTCCACCTAGCCTCGACCCCCTACATCGGCTAGGTGGAGGATGGCTCGACCAAACAACTGCTCGGATCCCTTGCTGGCGTTGTAAATCAGAGCAACCAAACAACAACGTCTGGATGGCCAGATGCGATGCAGACTTATTGAATATGGAACTAAACATGTCCTTATTTCTTGTGGAGACATGGGTCCCGTTCGCTTCGTTGAAAAAACAAGCTGAAACACTGTTCCGACTGATTTGTCGTGTGAGAAAAACACTCTTCCGACTAAAAAAACAACCTGAAAAGTACGAATTGTAAGAGAAGCGAACAGGGCCATGGTTTCTTGCTAAAAAACGATTCTCTTCTCACTTCTTTAACTGTAGTGTGTCATGTCATCTTTTTATTTATTTGATTTGATCACATCTTAATTAATGAACATACAAATTATGGTTTTTGAGCAAGGAGTGCACTTATTAGCCCTCTATCCAACAGGCACTATTTCTCGTCGGCCACAGCTGGAGGCACTGGACGGTGGGAGATCTCGGAGGGTCGAGGGCGGCGAACAGGCTCCCAGTCCCCTATCTCGTTCGTCAACAACCCTACTCGAAGAAGCAAGCACGCAAAGGGCACTGTGCCGTTACGGCGCGGCGGAGCCGGAAACTCCCGAGTCGAGTCGCGTCTTGCCAGTCTGACAGAGTAAACGAAGGCACGAACGCGACGCTTCCAGTCCAAGCAACCGAAGCGGGGGAGACAACCGAGGGCGGCCGGCATGGGGATCGTGGAGGCGTGGGTGCGGGAGAAAGCCCATCCGCACCTTCCTAGCCCGACTCGCCCAGCGCCGGGCGGCGGCGGCCGCCGCCTTCCTCGCCTCCCCCTCTGCCACCGCGGTCATCGACGGCGAGGGCGGCGGCGACGGGAGCATCCCGCAGCTCTCCTCCGTCGCCAACTCCGTCGTCTCCCGCTGCTCAAGGTAGCGTCTTCGCCTGACGCGAATCTACTCCGCTAGGGGTTGGCTATAGAAGTTCAATCTGAGCTATCCACTGATTATTCAGGGACTACGCATGAATGATTTTTGTGATCGTGATTGGTGTGTTTACCACGGCTCCAGAGGATCGCACTAGAACTACACCCAAATGCAGTGCAGCAGATTGCTGCCGTCCCCAAACTCGATTGGTACTAGAAGTCTAGAATTACAGTACAAAGAACCCCATTGGGCGATTGCTGGGAAAAAGATAGTGCAATCTCAACATTTTGCTAGCCTGAGCATTTAATTGGTATATTTGTCCTGTGGCAAGGCTTATTCTTCCTATCAATTAGTGAAAGAAATGGAGAAAACAACATATATTCCACTCGTCAATAATTATTCCTTTCAGAAATCCAATAGGACTGAAATTACCTATTGCTGGACATGTGCACTTCACACTTAAACTTGCCAGAGTTCACACTGAATTTCAGCGTGGAGTTTCTCATTAAGTTTGGGCAATGTTGTGAATGGAGGGAGCAAGCTACATAAAGTGGGCACAATTAGATCAACTAAAGCTGAATTCATTTTTTATAATATAATGAACCGATTCTATGCTAAGAAGGATGCCATAGTTAGCACTCATATTAAAATCGGCTCATGATCCTATAGCCTCTCAAGTTCATATTTAACCATAGCTTTGTTGTTGACGTGATTTTTCTTGGTTCCTGCCAAGATGATCTGTTATGAAGTGAAAGTGCTTTGTTTCCTACAACAACAACAACAACAACAAAGCCTTTAAGTCCCAAACAAGTTGGGGTAGGCTAGAGTTGAAACCCAGCCGAAGCAATCAAGGTTCAGGCACGTGAATAGCTATTTTCCAAGCACTCCTATCTAAGGCTAAGTCTTTGGGTATATTCCATCATTTCAAGTCTCCTTTTATTGCCTCTACCTAAGTCAACTTCGGTCTTCCTCTGCCTCTCTTCACGTTACTATTCTGGCTTAGGATTCCACTATGCACCGGTGCCTCTGGAGGTCTTCGTTGGACATGTCCAAACCATCTTAACCGGTGTTGGACAAGCTTTTCTTCAATTGGTGCTACCCCTAATCTATCACGTATATCATCGTTCCGAACTCGATCCCTTCTTGTATGACCGCAAATCCAACGCAACGTATGCATTTCCGCGACACTTATCTGTTGAACATGTCGTCTTTTCGTAGGCCAACATTCTGCACCATACAACATAGTAGGTCTAATCGCCGTTCTATAAAACTTGCCTTTTAGCTTCTGTGGTACCCTTTTGTCACATAGGACACCAGATGCTTGGCGCCACTTCATCCACCCTGCTTTGATTCTATGGCTAACATCTTCATCAATATCCCTGTCTCTCTGTAGCATTGATCATAAATATCGAAAGGTATCCTTCCTAGGATTCTTGCTCTTTCAATTGAGAACTTACAGCAAAGCTTTGAGACTGATTTTCCACACAATTGTAATGAGGAGGCCAATACATATGCAAGAGACCTTTTAGAGTATTGCTGCCACAAAGCTCTTCATGAAGTTACTACACGTCCAGACTATTTGGCTGATAAGAATCTTCGCCGCTTGATGTTTGATATGATGCTTGCATGGGAAACCCCAGGCGCTCAGGATGCGTCAGTAGAAAATGTGAGAAATTTTCAAGGCTGCATTCTTTTTGTTGGCACCTTATTCATCATATGGATATCTTTGAAAGGAAAAAGATCATGACCATGTCTTCATTTTCCTTAGCCTTCAGTGTTAACTGTTAAGTTATGTTTTTCTCTCTTTCTGTTGTGGTGGTTTCTGTTGTGGTGGTCAGGGTTCTATTGTCCGTGATTCCCTTGAGATTGAAGATGAGGATGAGGGGTCAATTTTTTATGCAAATTCCACAAGATTGGCTGTTCAAGTTAGTTCTCTACTGACAACCATATTTATTCTGTGGCAATATACATGATAATCTACTGGTGTTCATACTTAGGTTGATGACAAGAAGACAGTCGGGTTAAGTGCTTTTGCACGAATAGCACCTTCATGCCCAATAATAGCTGACCTGGTTACTGTCCACAATCTGTTTGACACACTTACGAGTTCATCTGGAGGCCGATTGCACTTTCTTGTTTATGGCAAGTATCTCAAGAGTTTAGACAGGTAATGAATACATAAAATTTCTTAAATTGTCCAAAATTTCGAGATCTATCTTACCTGTCTTTTGTTAAAGCATGTATCGCGTTCATGCATAAATAATTGAAACCTCACTATTGAAATGATGATTCCAGGTAAGCTAAGCATACCAAGTTATCCCTCTGCAACTGAAGTTGTGTAAGAAGTACATTTCTTTGTTGCAGCGCTGTGAGTAGGTTTTGATGGTTGCATTTGGATCTGGAATTCAGGATATTTATGTTATAGAAGAAATTAGGAGAAATAGGGGGTTGTGGATCTTTAGTAGTTCATGATGTTATGATTGATCCAATGTGAGGTACTAAGAGCATCATCATTGTTATTTACAGGGAATTGAGGTCTGAAAGGTATCATGCAATCATCACTTGCCTCAAGTTTTCATCTTGATGCTGTAGAATGCATATTAGCTATTGATGGAGACAAGCCTATTCATCCGGTACTGCAACATATTGGAATATCTGCATGGCCAGGTGAATTGTTTTATTCCATACAAGTTCTCAACTGGCAGACATGCTTCACTTTGGAAAGCAATTAATATGTTCATTTTTTTTGGCAGGAAGATTGGTCCTCACAACACATGCTCTTTATTTTCAGAGTATCAGAGTGGGATATGGTGATAAGATTGTTAAGTACTACCTATCAACAGATTCAAATCAAGTGATTAAGCGTGATTTGACTGGACCGCTGGGTGTCCGCCTCTTTGATAAAGCTGTGATGTACAAATCAAACACTTTGTAAGTATTGCAAGGGCGAAGCATTCTCCAAGACCTGCTTTCTTGAACTCTGTAGTTGTCATTCAATGAATCGCCTTCAAAACTAACATCACCTTATTTTACAGGACAGAACCAATTTATTTCGATTTCCCTGAATTAGGAGGTCCTTCACGAAGAGACTATTGGTTAGCAATCACCCGTGAAGTATTGCAGGTGAACAGATTTATTAGGAAGTTCAATCTTGGAGATGTTCAGAGAGCAGAAGCACTCTCAAAAGCTATCCTGGGCATTTTGTGATACTCTGCTGTCAAAGAAGCTTTTCATATTGCTCCTTCCCACTTTAAGACAACACTTACTTTTAGCTTAGCAGAAAAGCTTCCAAAAGGAGACATGGTCTTAGAAGCACTGTATAATAACTATTTCCAACTCTTGGACTCTTCATTGAGACATTTGGCAATTGATTCTGCAGTCGATAAAATGTCGGAGAACCATTCTGTACCATTTTCTTTGTATGCTCTCTCTAGAATGGGTTTTCTTCTGCTGAAGACAAAAGATGAAACTGAAAAGGAAATGAGCTTTTGTGCTGTTTGCTTTGGTGTAACAAAATCTCTGGAGGCTGCCCTGGAAGAGTCAATTTGTTACTCTGAGAGAATAGAGTCAGCACGTGCTACAGTCGATCAAGTAAAGGTGGAAGGCGTTGATGCAAATCTTGCCCTCATGCAGGTTTGTTTATATCTTCCTTTTCTGGCACATGTAATGGGAAGTAAGCTTCTTTGTTGCCATGGATTCAATTATAAAACATTTTGATTTGGATGCAGGCAATACTTTTACGCAATCATGCTTCATATTAGTTCTTTAGAGTTCCTTGGCTTTTCATATTACCCAAGCCTATTTCTCAAATGATACTTCAGTAGCAAGGTGATTTGCATTCTGATGGATTGCCTTATATATTGCAGGAGTTACTCTTCCCTTTCGTTCAAGTAGGCAAGATTGTTTACTCTCTCAGCCAATGGGAAGATCCTTTGAAATCACTTCTATTCTTAGCTTTCATGTTGTATGTTATTCAAAGGTGATTTCATTGTTGCTGTCAGATCTTATCAAGTATGCTTATACACATTAATTCAGCTTTCCCCTTTTTTGTTTCACAGGGGTCTCGTCAGTTACATCGTGCCCTTTGTTATCTTAACTTTTGCTATTATCATGCTTTGGCATAAGTATATTGGAGACGGAAAATTGTTGGAAGTGCTTGAAGTGAAACCTCCTCCAAGTAAAAATGCTGTTGAGCAGATTTTGACATTGCAAGAGGCTATATCCAAGTTAGAAGATTTTCTACAAGCTGCAAATATTACTCTTCTGAAGTTCAGATCTGTCTTGTTTGCCTGTGTTACTAAGGTTTCTCTTTTGATCTTTGCTGTTTGACATCTCTGGCTTTCAATATCTTGATAATAACCAGGCTGTTAGTCCATTGAGGCACAGGCTAATATCTATAAAAAATCTTTTGATATTCCTAATTGAAATTTTACTTTACAAGCTAAGGCATGGTGATGAATGTTTCTTTAGAAGTTCTTGGATCTTGGTTCTGATTCTGTACCCCAACATGTATTTACGCCTTTGCAACATTACGTATCATTTATTGCGCAGAATTATAAAGCAGGGTAGACTTGAGCTGTACAAGTGATTTCCAGTTTGGCAAATGCTAATACCATTTTCTGCTTATGCAGGCCACTGAAGTTGCTGCAGCTGTACTTGTTGTCGCAGCTGCATTTCTTGTCTTCGTACCTTCCAGGCATCTGCTACAGATGTTAGGTAGACTTGAGCTGTACAAGTGATTTCCAGTTTGGCAAATGCTAATACCATTTTCTGCTTATGCAGGCCACTGAAGTTGCTGCAGCTGTACTTGTTGTCACAGCTGCATTTCTTGTCTTCGTACCTTCCAGGCATCTGCTACAGATGTTAGTCCTAGAGATGTACACAAGGGAGATGCCCCTAAGGAAACAGAACACTGAAAAATTCTGCAGGCGAATTAGAGAGTGGTGGGCTCGCATTCCAGCTGCACCTGTGCAGATGATCAGACCTAAAGAAAGCAAGAAAAAGAGATGACCATGGGCTTTGGGCTCTCGAAGAGAAAAAAATAACCCACAGATTTCACCACTCCCCGGTTTGAACCTGATCAGCTAACTTGTATAGATTTTAACCTTGACTCTGCTTGTAGTAATCAAAATGCTACCGAGTTCCACTGAGAAAACTAGCCCTGGTAACCAATGTATAATGATGACTGCAAAAGAATTATTCATTTTTCTTGCAAGACATTTCTTCGAAGTTTCTAGAGCTCTGATGTGCTCTAGAAGAATTTATCAGATGTTTGAACTAATACTTGGAATGTAAAGGTGGTTTCATATGGATTCTCTGAAGTTATTTGCTCTAGCAGAATTGATGCATCCCCATAGCACTCTGGAGAAGCAGCTGAAAGTGTGTCGTATTGTCCAGTTCAGCACTTTATTTTCAAACCGTAAGTTCCAAAATTTGAGGTGTTTTGGTTTTGTTCTAAGTTAAACCAAGTCTGGGCAAGTTTATGGAAAAACGATGCAGCATTTTCCTTTTTATAGTATATTTGTTTGGTATTAAAAATGTTGCTACCATTTTTGAAGATCCGTTTGGATGTTGATATTGAGCTGCTGGAATTGAATTGGGCACCAATATCAAATCATATTAGTTTTGAAAATGAGTTACAATACCAAATATGTAGTTTGGATGTAGATACAATTACTACTTGAAATCCAAAGCAGTGGCAAATACGAATTCATGTTTGGGTATGTATATCGTCAAATTGAGAATTTATTCATCTTCTCTTCTCAACTATGCCCACAACCTAGCCACTTTGCGTGGCTCCTCCCGGCCATGGTGGAGAGCGTCGGAGGATGGAGGGGCGTGCCATTGGAGAATGGGTGCATGCCACCAACTGTTGCTAAACGTTGCGCAAGGAGTTAGGGCGGCATGTCCGCCCACTGGTGTGGATGGATTGGGAGGAGGGGAGGGGAACCTCACCATGGGGTGCAAGTGAAGGTGGTCGGGCTCCATTAGAGCAAGGTTAATAATATAGCTAGCTGTTGGCTGCAAGGATTCTCGTAGCTTATCTCTCAGTCCACCCATATATTAGTTAGCTCTTTAGTATTAATACATGGTCCACTTGTCTCTCTCACAAAGTGTCTCGGTACTTGTGCCTAAGCCGGCTGTAAGCTTACAACCCGCTTCTTTTCTCTCTCCTCTGCCTCAGCATTCAGCCTGCTTACAATCTGTTATTATACTTGCTCTTAGAGAGTCAGACTTAGCGTGGAGAAAGGTAAGGTTGAAAGAACTAACCTTTAAGCGCCGCCGCGATCTACCCTAGTTGCCTATCATTGGTTGTTGATTTTCTTTTCTTTTTGTCGTGAACAGTGTAAGTGAGCGCACCAGGAAGAGAGTGTGCCATTTCAACCGAATACGTTTGGGAGGACTCGAAATTGAGGGAGAAAGCGTGTCGGTATGCCAAATACGGTTAGATATTGGAGCAAATTTCTATCCACCATTTGTCAGACCATCCAAACAATATAATTCGGGTGCATCCAATTCTAATTCCAAAACATATTACATTTTGAAATTAAGGGGGAGCGCATTTTTCCTATCTCAGTGGTCTTTGTGTTGTTCTATGCCTGCAGTGTGCCCTGAGTTGATGTTGCCTTCTGAAGTTCATTTTTTATATTGTTGACGGGTTTATATGGTTGGTGGATGGTGGGGGAGAGTATACTGCTACTGCTACCTAACCAAAGATGGCCAACGGTCCGGCCCGGTCCGGCACGGCACGGGCCCGTGCTAGGCACGCCCCGATAGGGCATGGCACGGAAGGGCCCATCGGGCCACCGGGCCGTGCCGCACCAGTCCATCGTGCTTGGCCGACGGTCCAGGCACGGCCTGTCGAGCCAATTTCCATGCCGGGCCGGCCCAATGAGCCTGGCCTTTTTAGCAAGTCGGGCCACCCCGAGGCCCACCAAATCTTAGTTTTCGTACGTACCCCCTCCCTAGGATCCGAGCCATCGTTCTGCGACCGCGCATTCGGTCTCCTTGCGAGTCCAACTTTCCTCGAGCCCCCCACGTAGCGGGGGTCCAGTCGAGGTTGGCTCGTCTTTGTGATCGTCACCCCATCCACGGTTTCTGCAACCGGAGGGGTTGAGCTAACGTCGCTTGCCTCGATGGCTCGAGTGTCGCGCTCGGTGAGCTCGCTAACGGGCATGTCCAAGTGGAATCTGGGTCCGTCGTTCATAACGGGGTCGGCATAGCCCTCATGTGGCATTCCACTGCTCCTTAACCCGCCTACCAGCAGATGCCCGAGTCATTCCGGATATCGATTCAGGTGGCCCGTTAGCCTCTCCTCGATGGAGATTCTGTGGGCATGGCTCGAGGTTAGGATCGAACGAGAAGGTCAAGATGACCCTGTCCGCTTCTGAGCGGGTCTGGCGAAGGCCGCTGGGGCTCATATGTGTTTTCTCTCCTGGCTCTGTTTGACGCGAGGCGGCCTCGAGCCCTTCGTGGGCTGGCCTTCGAACCCCGGTCAGTTGTCACTCATGTTGACGCGAGGCAGCCTCGAGCCCTTCGTGGGCCGACCTTCGAACCCTGGTCGGTTGTCTCTCATGTTGAATGAGACGACTGTCGCTTCGTGTTGCAACGCGAAGCGTCGTGGTGTAATAATTGCATATGCGATGCTTGGATGTATGAGAATGGATGAATGAATGCTCATGCACTAGAAAAGTAAAGTGGGGGTTAGTAAAGTTTGGGGAGCTCTTACCAGCTATGTCTGAGTGGAATTCGGGTCCGTCGTTCGTGACGGAGTTAGCATAACCCGCATGGGGCATTCTACTGCTCCTTACCCGTCTCTTGTCAAAGGCTCGAGTCGTCCGATCAACTTGGGTGACCCATTGGCCTCTCGATGGAGATTCCATCGGTGGGCCCCTCTAAACCCTTCCTGGGAAGGCGGAGGCTACAGCTCGGAGTGCGGGCAAAAAAACTCTGGTTATGCTGGTGAGCAAAAATGTCGTAGCCATTGGGGCGTAGGTTTCTTACGGTCCGATCAGTTTTACTCAGCGTTTGTTTCCGCAAACCTTGCCTTTACATTTTTAACGTGATAAAGGGTCGGGCATAGAGAATGTCTACCGAATAGACATACTCTTACCACCCCGAGTGAGGCCCGACCCCTTATCGTTGCTGGGGTCGGGCGTCACTTAAAGATCGTGGAGTCGATAGCGAAACTAATAAGAGAAAACGTGCGTAAATTAAGGGTAACCCGTCTCTCGGCAGCGGCCCGAGCCATCCGATCAACTTGGGTGACCTGCTGGCATAGGACTTACCTTGATGGATCGAGTGACGGGTTCAAGGAGATCTTACCGTATATGTCCGAATGGAATCCGGGTCCGTTGTTCGTGATGGAGTCGGCATAACCCTCATGGGGCATCCTACTGCTCCTTACCCATCTCTCGGCAGCGGGCCGAGCCGTCCGATCGACTTGGGTGACCCACTGGCACAGGACTTACCTACAGAGATAGAGGATGAGATCATCCCGCCCAAGAAATTAATTAGGCAGATAAGCCAGGCGGTGAACTTATAATAAATGAACAAGCTCTTAATTTTCGTTATGGCCAAACATATTTTTAGCCCTTCTCCCCTTTTTTTATAAAAATGTCAATACATTCCGACCCTTTCCGTTGTTAAGGCTGTAAAGCTCAGGGTGCGGGTGAACAAACTCTGATCACGCTGGTGAGCAAAAACACCATAGCCGCTGGGGCGTAGGTTTCTTGCAGTCCGACCAGTTTTACTCAGCGTTCGTTTCCGCAACCCTTGCTTCTAGATCTTTACTCAGCGTTGAACAAACAGTGTAAATCATTTACTAAAACACTGCATGAGCATCATGGTTATGTGTTAATGTATGTAATATAGTGTGTAGATCAATTTTCGTAACTTAAAACGACCAACGGAAATGCATAACGAAAGGTTGTTCGTGACTTATAAAATTATCAAGTAAGGATGTTCGTGAAATTTTATTGAATGAAAACACTATAGAACGTATATATGGAACTTTAATAAAGTTAGAAGTACAAACTTCGTAGATGACGATGAAATACCTGCGGTCGAAAAATGAATTCACTAGCTAACATACCTAATAGCTTGGAAATCGAATTTGACGCGAATCTGATCAAGACTTAGTCGATTTCTTAAGTCTGAAAAATGGTTTGACCTAGCTATGTTTGACAATTTTTGTGGAGTAACTGGGTTAAGGAGTGTTGTGGTTTTAGGGCTTATTTTAATAGCCTAATATGCCATCTTAAGAATTGCATAGGTGGTTTGGCAATTAGATCAACGTGTTAGATTTTTTGAACGCTTTAAAAATCGTGCGCAGCATGCTCTCGGCTGGCTTCATCGCGTGGGCGCGGTCACCGTGCCTTGGGCGCTCAGCGTCGCGGCGTCGGCTGTCCGCACGCATGCGCATCACGCGACGCCACACGCCAAGCACGCCGCCAAGGCTCGTGGGCCCGATGCCTGGCGATCCATCGCCGCCGCCTCCTCGCCATGTCATCGCTGCGCTTTGCGTTATGCGTCACGCTCACTGCTTGCATACCGCCGTACACCGCCGTCTCGTCACCGCGCTGCACGTCGGCTCACTACACTGCGCTGTCACCGCCGCCCCACAACACGCTACCGTCGCGTCCGCCTGCGCCTCTGCGTCGTTGCCCGTCCTGACTTCGCGCACGTGGGCTTGCCGAGGCCACTCGCGTGTCGTTCTGTAACACCCCTAGTGTTACGATCTCGTTTAGCACAGTGATTTAGGCCTAAGCTAAATTTTCGTAACGAGTTTCTCGGATTTTTTATTTAAAACGGATTCGACGCGATAAGCGAATCTTGTGTGTCTTAGTTCGTGGACTCAAATAAACGCTCAAGTTAAATTACGCAGTGCGTAGAAATATTTAGTAGTGTCCGATAACGGTTCTAGCAAGTAAATGACGAATGGTTGTTCTGTTGAATTGAACGTAAAAACAATGCTTATAAACAAAAATACGATATGACGGATATATAGT